CGGCCCATTGTCATGAGGAAACTGTGCGAAAAAGGAATGCACCCGTGTGAGGGAACGAATCCTGCACCTCCAACTGGGGCGCTCATCGCTGGCCAGATGAGCTGATAAGCTTCGATGTCTAACTAGGAAACGCGAATCATAAGAACTATTAGCCACTACAGATCTAAAACATTGTTTTGAATTTTCAAATGCGCTTTTCTGTTTGTTTCTTCATTAGATTTCTTTCTCCTTTTTCTTTCCTGTTTCCTTTTTCTTCTTTTTTGAAAACCGAAATTCTAACAATTGAAAGCATTTTGAGAAAATGTTTGGATTTTCAAAAAAATTGCGTTTTAAAAATATGATTCCAATTTTCCAATAATCCTGCATTTTCAATAACAAATTGCAAGTCCAAATTTTTTTTGATTTGAGTTTGCAAGAAAATTTTAAAACCGGAGTATTTTCTGATATTCTAGACAATGTTGGAAATACACGGATATTTTTTGAAAAAGTGTCAATTATTGAAAAAACTAGCAATTTTTAAAACCAAACGAAATATAAAAGAAACTAGCAATTTGCAAAATGAGATTTTTTTTGGAATTGGAACAAAATAGAAAAAACCGAATAATTCATGAAAAATACTAACATTTTATTTGAAAAAACCAAACAATTTTCGAAAGTGTACATTTTTGAATATTTTTTAAACTAGGAAATATTTTTTGAAAATCTCCAGTTTTTGGAAATGCGAAATTTTTTATGGAAACACAAGCATTTTTTGAAGAAATGAATACTTTTTTAAAAAAGAGGATTTTTTTCAAACGTGAACATTTTTTGGAAAACATGTATAAGAAGTTCTGGAAAAAACATGAATCAGGAAAGTAAACATGACAAAGGAAAAAATAAAAAGGAAAAAAAGAAGAGAAATAAACAAAAATAGAAAAATAAAAATGAAAAAGAAATGTCACCATCATCGCACATCAGACGCCTACTCTCTAGGGGGGCATGCCATTGAGATCTGTCACCATCAATATGCACGATGAAGCACCGCTCCACCAAAGACGTCGTCCACTGGTCCTTCGAGCCCGCGTACACCTCCAAGAAAAACGCCCCCAAGGAGTAAACGACACACTCGCGCCACCGTCTTCTGATCTATCAATCTAGGGTTTCCCCCTGAGGTAGCAGATAGTAGTCTAGAACTTCTCCATGGCGATGCCTTCAAGAATGGAACGAAGCCGTAGAGCGCCGCCACCGCCGGCTTTGGCATCTAGCCAAGAGCAGATTTTCACCCAGATCGGTTCGAAGAATTCCATCCAACTTCTTGTGCACGGATCGCTGCCTTCTCTGTCAGAGATAAGATCAAAAGGATCTAACCGCCGCCGCTAGATCCATGCTGCCAGCACCGGGAGATGACGACAGTCTCCCTGTACCGGAGCTAGCACGAACCGGAGCAGATCAATTCGGAGACGATGATGCCCCTGGATCTCCGGCAGACCAGCGAGCCGCCGGCCCCACTGCGTCCAGATCACCGGCCACACCGGGCCGCCGCCACCCTCGCGCCGTCCGGGTCGGAAAGGGAGCCGCCGATCGCGCGTAGGGGCCACCACCGCCCGCACACACCGGAGCGCCACCGTGAACCCAGCGCCCGCCACCGCCTGCCGAGGTCCGTCGTCGCACGCCCTGCGCCCCACCGCCATTCGTCGAGGCCTGCGGAGCCAGGGGAGGTAATCCCCCCGCCGCCGCCATCTGCCACGCGGGTTTTACCCGGCGGCACGAGGAAGGGAGGAGGAGAGGGTGGTCGTGTTCATGAGGAATAGTATCCCTTCCCCGCTTGTCAAAGACTTCTCTACTAACAATCCCTTCCTTCGAATGAATAAAGAAATAGACGCAACACATTACAAGGCTAGACTCGAGTGTTGCGACTACGTGTTCAACCAGTACGACGACAGAAAAGGGTACTTGGAGTTCCAAGTGGAGGTCACTGATGATGGGGAAGTAATGGTCCCGACGAAATTTCTTGACAAGGAAGACAACATTGCCTAGAATCGGTTTCTGTTTGTAGGAAGCAAGGGATGGTTGCCGTGCTAATGAGGTAAGGCCAGTTTGATAACAGCAATAAAAGTGATGTGAAAGAAATATCTAAAGGCATGGGATATGTTGTTTCTAACTTTGATTTGTGTATTTATATATTTACTAGGTAGTTCACATCAATTCACATGCATGAAGTTTTATTTTAATATTAGCCTATATGTGCTTTGCATATCTATATATGAATGCTAATGAGACGTGCATTTCACGTGCACGCTTACTCTTTTGCACGAACCGTTCATGCACCATTATCATCGCTTCCCTACCAGAGAGTTGGTCTGACCTTGTCGATGACAGTTGGAAAGTTTCGCTACATGTGCCTGTAAGGACTGAAGTCTTGAAGCCACAGTTGTTTTCGTTGAAACCTTACTCGATGGGAAACACCTTTTTATGCATAAAAACACTAGCCACATGTACCGCTTTCCATTCAAAAAAGAAAAATAAATAAACAACTATATCCAAAAAAGGGTACAATGGGTGGGTTCATAAAACTCCCCTAAAAACAGTCTCCACCCATATTCCCCTCGAATTTTCGGTATGTTGTTTGGGTAATTGGGTTCATCAAAAGAAACTGTGGCATGATGTTGGGTCCATAAGAGTCCCTCAAATTTTCCGCATGATGACGTGTTAGCGACACTGGCTGTAATTGATTTAAAAATTCTAGTTTCATACATCTCTTTATGTTTAGGAAATTAGTGAGTGGGGAAGCTAATAGCTAGTCATGGAAAATGAGAACTCAAATGAGGAACCAGGCGAATAATGTTCGGTGTTGGATGGCAAGAGAAGAGCAGTCCAGAGCATGTACACGTACATGGCAGACAAGGGCCTAAATAGCCTGAAATTGCAAGACATGTGGGCAGTTCATAACTAAACTCTCAAAAACAAATATTTGTGTAGCTCGTGGCGCAACAATGGATCAGATAATTTTAGAGGATAAGATTCCAAATAGGAAAAAGTTGTCTGGAACAGATGATTGCTATGTTAGTGATTCCTTCAAAATTCATATGGCCAACGTCTTTTTTCACCAAAGATAATTTGGTGAAATGGAATAGTTGGAATATAGTTTTTAATAATCAAAAGCAGATCATTCAACATCTCTTTTCTTGGACTATTAGTTTAGTTGTTGAACGAGGTTTACATACTTTGTACCTCCTGTAGCTCCTCGTATGTTCGGCCATGTGAGTCACATTTCGGTTTGTCCATCTGCCAACAGGGATGCGATTATCAAATCTTAGAAAGTGAAATCAAATCTTTGCCAGTATATTGATGTACTAACTAAAGCAGAGTACAATACGCTTGCCACAAAGTGAAGGCAGCACAAAGACAAACACCTCTATGGTACAAAAAGAACACCAATTGATGCAACAAATAATTGAAAACGTGATTAAGTATTCAATAGTCCGGGGATGCTTAATGATCCACTATCGCGAGATAGTATAAGTCAACCATGTGTCGGTGGTACGGAGAAAATTATTAATTATTTTTAAGAAGAACAACACTACTTTATTTCAAATTGGAATGTTTTGGGGGAATACATCGATGATCCGGTGGATCGGACAATCATACATGGCGTCCCATCGAAAGTGTAGTAGCCATTCCAGCTATCCTAAGAGCCCCCCATCACATTTATGTTTTTCATGGCCGAAGATAGATGCTTGTCTGATCTCTTTCAAAATGATGCGACAAACACCAAAATATTCAAATGCCTTCAGATAATAAATGACTGTCAGATAGTCCAATGTGAGATGTCCTTGCTTTTTCAATAACATACACGTACCTTGTTGATTAATAGATCCTCAGCTAAAACCATTCTTCCTTGAGTTGTCTGTTCCTTCGCTCCTTCTAATACGTTGACACTCCCAGAAAACATCCATGATCATCACGACAGTCAGCTCCCATAGCTCATTTGTCGTCCTTGCCAAGACTACTCCAAGAACAGGAACAACTGTCCTAAAGGTTCGTGTCGGAGAATGAGCTTCTATGGAAGAGAGGAGAAAAAAATAGGACAACTTGTTGACAAGAAAGTTAATATTACCCCCTAAAATTTGTGGTAGAGTTTAAATTACAACCATCACATTTAATTTGGTTCATATCACAACCTCCAACTACGATTGAAATACCCATTTACTCATCTAAGCATGGTTTTTTGCCCATGTAAACAACAATGCATCGTTTGGCATGGTGACCCGGTTCCCTATACCCCCAGATAAGTGTTTACACATACCCGGGGATTGGATGTCAACAAATATCACCCGTCCGGCTTAACAGGTGGTGAATAAGTTACTCCAGCCTGTCCTCTCCAATGACACATAATATTTAGACCTAACAGTATACTCTCTCCATCCAGTGAAGAGTGTACATCTAGAAATTTTAGGATAAAATATGAAGTTGAGTAAAAAATTGCATTGAAAAGGTGCAAGCCATCATCTCTCTCCTTTTAATTACCCAATCCTCAATGAGTGCATGTAGAAATTAAGAAGACCATGTGTACATTGCTATTGGTCTTGATTACCGTGTGATGAGAGAGAAATTTTTTTTTTACTTTAAAGTGCATTGGGAAGATAGAATTACACTCTTTTATGGATAAATTTTGAAGCCAAACATACACTCTTCACCGGACGGAGGGAGTAATTTAGAGCATATATCAACACACTTGTACGTGTACATATCGATATGCATTAAATTTCGTGTCCATATATTTACTTGATGGAAAGGAAATATTACTGCAATCTGCATCTACACCAAGAGAATTCACACAATCATCACAATGGTATTATTACAACATTCAACGCGACCACATCAACCACTAGACAAGTAAATCAAACTAACTTGACATGTTGGTGTAAACACCCACTCTTATTATGAAGTTGAAATAGTACAATTAATGGAAGAACATGATGACGAGGGATCTCAAGGGGCAACAAGCCACGTCCATATACCTATATATAACCAGAGTATACATACGGAGTAGCTCTCAAATGCAGCTCTACCTTTTTCCTTACTCCCATCCCAAAAGTCTCGGACATGTCCAACAAATGTGAATTCTCTCCATCAGGAAGCACCCATTCAAAGTGGTAGAGAAGATTCGCCAATGCAATCTCCACGGAAGACGTGCCAAACAGAATCGCAGGACACTGTCGACGACCTGCCCCGAAGGGGGTGAACTCAAAATTTGTTCCTTTAAAATCAACATTGCTATTCTCAAACCTCTCTGGGTTAAACGCTTCTGGGTTGTACCAATATCTTGGATCCCGAGAAATTGCAAATGCATTAACATGTATCTTTGTGCCTTTGAGAATGTGATAACCCATGATTTCACAGTCCTCCCTCGACTCACGGGGGACAAGCATAGGGTTGGGGGGATGTAACCTAAGAACCTCCTTGATAAGCATTCGCATGTAGTTCAGTCCACCATGGTCGGTATTAATGATGACACCTCATAGTGCACCTAGAACGCTTTGAACCTCTAGTTGTGACTTTGCCATAGTCTCGGGTTTTTTCAACAACTCCGACATAGCCCACTCTACAGTGGATCCTAAGGTTGTAGTAGCGCCTCCAAATATGTCCTGAAGCAATAGTTATGTTATGCACAATTTATAAAAATTATAAACAAAATATATTAGGACACTATATTCTTTTAGGAGATTAAGACGACACAAACTGTTGAAGGAAATAAGAGTGACGATGACATAACCAATCAAACTAGTCTAATGGAGGAAACACTAGTTCTCTCTCACGAGTTCATTAGAAACAAAGGCATACACGAACAAGACTACTTTCTTGTAAGTGAGAACAAGACTACTTGAATCACATTAATAGCATAGGAGGCCAAATTATTCTTCTACGTAGTACTATTCAAAATGGAAGGAGTACTCACAAACATGATCGCACCAATAGTCTCCGGGGTTAGAGGGAAAGCAAGTGAATCCTTCTTCTGCAGCCTGAGCAGCACTCCCAGGAAATCCTCCTGATCCCCGTTGGCGGCGATCTCCGCATTGCGGCTCTCGACGATACTCGCAATGATGCGCTGGATGCAGCCATAACTCCCACGGAGGCGGTGCTCGATGGTGCTCAGCCGCCGTACGATCCGCGACGACAGGAAGAAGTCCAGCGGGAAGAACCCAGCCACCAGCTCGCTTACTTGGTCGTAGGCGAGCACGAACTCGGACTTCTCCTCTGCGCACTTGCCGCCGAACATGGCCATGGCGACGATGTCGTTCGCTAGCGCCGACGCCTTCTTGCTGAGGTTGACGAAACCAGAGGCCGCCGCAAAGGAGCGGAAGAGGCCGCCCACCTCCTCGGCCCTTATGGACTCGACACGCTTCACTTGCTTGGCGTTGAGAAGCTCCATGATGCAGATCTTCTTCATCTGGCGCCAGCGGTCCCCGTAGGGTGCGAAGCCGATCCCCTTCCCGCAGCAGCCGATGATGTCGATGGTCACGCTGCTCGGCCGGGAGGCGAACGACAGGTCGTGGGTCCTCATCACCAGCTCCGCCGCCTCGGCGCTGGAGACGACCAAGGTTGGAACCTCGCCAAGCCTGAGGAACATCAGGGGTCCATGACGGCGAGACAACTCCCTCATTGTGCGGTGTGGGAGGCCACGCAAGACGTGGTGGAGGCTGCCGATGAACGGAAGGCTCCATGGCCCGGGAGGCAGCTGCTTCTTGCGTAATTTGCTTTTGTTGCCGTAGGCTGTGAGTTTAAGAAACAAAAGGAAGAGTATCGTGGCTTGAGCAATAAAAGAAAACATGCTTAACACCTCCATGGTCAGTTAACTGGCTACTGGAGGAGATTAGCTTGTTTCTGGGCTTTGAGCTCGATGATAGATAGCATACTTATAGGATAGCAAGAACCATGAAGTTAACCCTGTAGCGTGCATGATATGATCGATGTCCTAGTTAATCTTGTTGCTCCATGCGGTGGTTGTAGCATGATGCATGTGTGCATGCATGCAGCAGCTGCTGCGCGCATCTGGACGACTATGCATGATTAGTTTTCCCTAAACACACTCCAAATTGAGGAAGGAACTAATCCAAGTAATGTAAATTTGGACTCTATAAGCTTGCGCTTGTCGATACATAGCTCTCATCAAAGTATAATTTCTACTTACTTGTGATCGAGTACACATGAAAGAAAGCAGCTCAATTATGAAGCCTAATGCAATCCCGAGTATGTACATATTGCTGACATGCTAAAAAGTTTTGCCCGGCTCCGGCGAGGGAGGGGCGACGGCGGCGCACCTTCGGCTCGCTTCAGTGCTGGTAGTCGTCGTTAGGTGGTGTACAAATCTGGATGTAATTTTTATTATTTCTGGTGTTCGTTGTACTGCCATGATTTAAGATGAATAGATTGATGGTTTTCCCGCAAAAACGTGAGAAAAGAGAAGGTGTTAGTACCATATCGATACCAGATCATAACAAATGATATGTTAATATGTGCCATACAAAACAATACTGACGTAATTTTAAATGCCTACCTATGATATTATGCACTACAGAGGTGGACACTAGTATCATATGCATGATACTGGTATATGATACTCCCCACTACAAACAACCTTATGGCATACTACCACCGTTTCATAATGTAGTGTATATAGATTTTTTTTTTAAAGTCAGCCCTCATAAACTTTGACCAAATCTTTGAAGAAATACATTTACATCTAGAATGCCAAGCATATGTCCTTAGATCCATTATAAGAAGTAGTTTCATATTTTATATATTTAGTTTGTAGATATATAAATAGCTTTCTCTATAAATTGGGTCAAATTTCACAATGTTTGACTTAAAAAAATCTATACGCACTACATTATGGAACAGACGGAGTACAATATATTTCATATATTATTGGTCTAATTGCTGGTAAACGTAAATCTAAAAAACATATTAGGCCTTACCTAGAGGGAGTAGGCGATTAAGCTCAAACAACACAATGTGCATGCATTTTGAAAATGTTATGTAAGAATTGTCCAACTTGAGAATGAATATATTTCTCCTCAGCATTTTATTCAATCAAGCCATGATATTTCCTCTTCATTAAAATTAAAAGCAACAAAGGTCCCATGCATATATAGTCTCTAGCGATTGTCATGATTAGTAGCAAAATAAGATCACAATAATTGTTTGCCTTAACCAAAAGCCATGTCATACCCAACAACATTAGATAAGATATTGATGCTTACATTCTATGGGCTCTTTTCCACCAATAGCAGAACAAATTGATTTATCTAAAATCATCTTGTTTCCACACTTGCTTGTATGTACAATAGACCACTAATAGTAGTTGCTTGAAATAAAATGATAAGTAACGACATAAAATATAATTGTGAGATATCCATGTCATCAATTTTAACTTCAAGCCAACTTACATAGTTCAAGAAGCAATATGATACGAATGTTTCAAAGGACGGCGGGATCACCTCTAATCGCATTTAGTAGAATACACCCGCCTCCAAACCCCCAACCCCACCCAAGTACATGGAAGATGGAACCGACCACGGGACTAGCTATAGCAAATCGCCTCCCACCCGCGCACGAAATAGAGCGTGGTCATCAACGTTAGGGTTAAAAAAAATGCTTAGGGCCATCTTGCAAACTTAGCATATCTACAATGTATCGTTCTTTTGTCCGCTCGATATCATCTATAGATCACAAGAAGGCAAGTACACAATAAAATGTTCCTTAGGGTGATCCCTTGCCACCTTCGTTCATATGTACATGAGAAGAGCATTGCTGAAGCATGAATGTATTTTTGAATCATATTCATTTTCGATTGTCCGAGCACTTTTCTCGATTTTTTTGTCTTTTTTGCCTTATTATCTAAAACAGTGGAGGTTGAATAATTTGCAACAATATGATGGTTGTGTGCGTTGACCGATGCAGAGGCCAAGGGGCTTTCCCCCCTTTTGGAAAAAAATATGTGATGAGTAATATTCATTAAGCAAATGCGTGACAATTGATATCATTCGATAGAATGACGATAGTTATCTTATTTACATGAACAACTCGTAACTTAGCTAAGACAATGACATTACGCTGCTACATTGTACACACTTCAAGGATGTACCTGGGTCAAAAAAAGTAGAGACTAATTTCAAATATTATCTACAAGGCGGAACAGGAGGCCAATTATCTGTGGTTGATCATGTCTTGATATAATCTAAGCATATAGAAACGGAGTGTGTCTCCGATGGTGCCCCCCACAGATCTGTATATGCAGTTCCACCTTCTCCCTTCTCCAACGGCTGCAACAGAGGTTGAAGACGGTGACTCGATGAGTTGATGCATAGAAGGACTTCTTTTGTACTTTTTTTTTTGTTTTATAGGGCTTTTTTCTAGTGTTCTGGGCAAGCTGTCCCTCCAATCCCTTCTCCAGAAAGATGCTACGTGTGTTGTAACCCCTTCATGTGATATGAATGGAACACGTAGACGCTCTTTTGCAACATAAAATACATAAATAAACATAAATACATTACAAAAATGGGCAGGGTAATGAAAATACATAGAGGACACCCCAGCTGCTCCCACCCACAGACAATGTAAGGTGCTAATTATTTTGCAATTGGCACACCTATGTGTTTCATGTTCAAAGGAGTGTCACAACACAACATAGAAAAGGAAAGAGTGTACACAGTCACGCATTCAAACAATCGGCAACTCATTTCCGAGCCCAGCTGGCTGATATCTGCATTTGAAAGCATGAATAACTATCGATTAAAGAAACTAAAAGAGGACGATGGAAATTGATTGTTTTAAGATTGAAGGACACTGAGATTGATTTTCATGTTCTACATTCTTGGCTCTAGATGGGTGGTACCATGCGAGCTGTTTAATTGCACAATCCAAAAGACTATTTAACATAGTCTCTTATGCGTAGTGGAGATGTGATAATGTAATGGTTTGAATTTGGAGGGTTTATATATGCAGGATAACTCACATCGGAGGCTTTTGTTGCCGTAGGCTGTGAGTTTAAGAAACAAAAGGAAGAGTATCGTGGCTTGGGCAATAATAGAAAACATGCTTAGCACCTACACGGCCGATCAGTTAATTGGCAACACGAGAATCTGCAATCTGGAGCCATGCATTTTATATTGCCCAAGCCACGTAGTATAAAGAATAGATGTTTGTGTATGTACTTTGTGTTGTGTTGTGCTGCTTGCTTCATTATAGTATAACCAATCAATCTGGAGAATCAAATCAAACTACTACCCACTCTCGATCGCCTTAATTTGCTTGCCACAGTTCAAAGTGATATCTTATCCGGAGAACCTGCAACCTGGAGCCATGCATTTTGTATTGTAACTAAATATTTGTAAACGTGACACACACACTTCCAATTATTTCTCTCTTGATCCAGGATATCTTATTTTTCTTTTCACCTATTTCCTTGCCCAACCTACACATGGGTGATTCCATTGAAGTTAGCACCGACGCCTAGCCATGCCGCTAGCATGCGGGGACAAAAGTAAGGTATCTCCAGGCACAACGTCGTGTTTCTACATGCATTGCTGTCAAGCGAATAAACAAGGAGCTGAGGGATCTCTGAGCTCTCTCCGCACCGAACCAGCCACAAGCTGGAGCGATTAGTCACTTTATTTATACGTATTACACAGTGAGTCCTATTTATGAAATTCATTTGTGACAACACACTTTTTTTAATGTTCTTACTGCTTTGCACCACTCCACCCAAGACGTAAACCCAGCCAAATTCTTTGTCTAATTAATTATTAGAATGAAAATTTATCCTAAAAATAATTATAAGTAAATTTTAGCAAACCAGCCATTGGGTAGCTTTGTTGCGGGTTTTTTTCTTCAAATTTCACTTTGTTGCGTTGTCAACGTGACATCTAATTGTGACGCTTTGCATAAAACTCAAAACGTTAGAGCTGTCAGGGTTATTGTACGAGCGCACCCACTCTCATTTGCATACACATGCCGCCCATCAATAAGCTAGCAGAATATATATAGGGCATGCTAGTTTAAATTAGTGGTCATAGTCTAGAAAGGTTTCGACATTTATTTATTTGTTTAAGTAGAAGGGAAATGTATTGCAAACGTTTCATCTAATTGTGCTAATTGTGATGCTTTGCAGAGAAATACACGAAGTTGGAGTTGTTGGTGAAGAAAAAAACATGAAGATATTAGAGGGTTGAATTATTTGTACGTGCGCACCCACTCTCATCTGCACACACATTTCTTGTCCGCCCATCAATACAGTAGGTAGAACTCTTTCATTCCTAGCTACCAGAATATACAAGGAATCATAGTGTAAAGTGATCATATATAGTCATAGAAAGGTTTAGGCATTAATTCTTTGTTTAAATAGAGGGGAAATGTAGCAGACGACCCATTTGGAAGCTCCATAGCGATCTAAATGTTTCGCCAATTATTAAAAAAGAAGAAGTTGCAAGTGAATGAAAAAACACGTCCATGCAAGATTATAGATGCATAAACATGTACCATATGGGCCGGGTTTATAACTCTCATGGTTGTATCGCCTTGATATATATGACATTTTGAGTTCATAAAATTCTCTTTATCAGAAAATAAACTAGGTAACACGTGTTCTGTCAATCAAGGGTTTTATATACAAATATAAGCCATTCTTCGGATATGCACTGGATGGCACAATCATATTTATCAGCACTAAGTGGGTTATTTTTAAAAAATATAGGTTTGTTAAGACTAGAACTTACCGTGATATACGAATGACATATTTTCAGAATTATTTTAACGTCATTGTTATTCCCTCTATCTATCATCCTA